GGCCCCTCGGGCGCGCGTCCCCTGCAGGTGCCAGGTCGGGGAGGGTCGCCCGCGCTCGCCCCCGAGGTTGGCGTGCACGGTGCACACCCCTCTTCCAAAGCCTCCGCGGTAACCTTGCTGCATTTCTACCCCCAGCCTCTGAGATCACGCGTGGACGCTGCGTCCTTCGGCTTCAGGGACCCGACGGTTTCCGCGCGTGCAGGGGACCACTGGGTGAAAGGTGGGTCCGGGGGCGGGGGGGGGCTCGTCACTTTTTTTTTTTTTAATGCAAACGAATGCTGCATCCGAGAATTTCGCTTCCTTTGTGCGTCGCGTATTTGTTGGTGACACATGGTGTTCGGGCGGAAAGATAAAGGTGCAGACAGAGATCCTTTCCCGGAGGCTGGGGCTGCATTTCGTCCGGAGCGCTTGCAAGATTCCTAGGTGTCTTCGGGTGCACGGGTCTGTATGTAGTCCAAAATGGGTCTTACTAATAAAGGAAAACCCGGAGAGAGAGCGAGAGAGACGACGAAGTATGCAGAGCCAGCGCTCCATCACTGAACTACACCCGAGCCCCAACACTGAAGTTTTTTTGGTCTCCATCCCCGCATTAAGAATTTAACCCAGGGCCTCCTCAGCGAACTACATCCCCGCCCCACCCCCCTCCTTTTTCCGAGACAAAGTCTGGCTAAATCCCTAAGTTGCCCCGGCTGAGCTCCAACTTCCATCTTCCTGCCTCGGCCTTTCAGAGCGCTGGGGTTGCTGGCGTGTGCCACGCCCCGCTGGAGCTGCGGTTTTATTTGAAGCGAGTCGGTCTGTAACTCGCGCCCCCACCTCCTCGGGCTTTTAAAGCACGAGTTAAACGCACGGAGGCTTTGTTAGGCTACCACTGCGCTTAGGCGAATTAACCATTTCCTTTCTCTCCTAAAAGAGAAAAGAAAAAAAAAAGGTTCTCCCTGTAGCCATGTCCCACGATGAACGTAATCGTTGCCTACTGCAAACATGTACTCGTTAAAAATTTTAGAATTTAAATGACATGCGTTTATGGTGAACTGTCTGAGAGTCAGTTGTTAACTTTTACATCACCTGAAGATGAGGATATTGGCCCACTGAAAGTTCAATGCTACTATTTCAACCAAGAAAATGACATCAGGGCTGGGAATGTAGCTCAGTGGTAGAGCTACTTGCTTAGCATACTTCAGGTCCTGGGTTCAAGCCCCTGCACCACCAAAACACAGCAAAATTATGTAATATATACTTTGTGTAAAATAAAAAATTTCCGCATTGTTCCAGAGTAGGCTTTGGGGTGTTTTTGGATCTAAGATCCCTTCAAGTTTTTTTTTTTTCTTTTCTTTTCTCTCCCTCTCCCTCCTCCTCCTTTGACACTATCTTTTAGAGCTTTCAGTGATGATAAACAGCCAGCTGTGGGACGTGTGCCCTAGGTTCACCGCCATGACGTAGACCATGCTGGGCTTTAACTCTTGATCCTCCTGCCTCAGCTTCCTGAGTGCTGAGACCACTTCAAGCCTGGCTTATTCCAAGATTCTCATATTGAAAAATTTTAGTGTCCCTCAGCCTCTTTGAATCTGGAGCAGTCACCATTGTTTCTCTGTTGCATTGAATTTTTGAAAAGTCATATGTTCTTTTATAAAGTCACTTTTTTTTTTGGTACCGGGGATTGAACTCAGGTCCTTGCACTTGCAAGGCAGGCCACCGAACCACTGAGCTAAGTCCCCGGCCCAAAGTCACACATTTTGATGTTTCTGTTTGTCTTTTCATGGTGTGTTGAAGTGTTTTTCCATCGCTTGTAATTTCTTATGTAGTGATGCATAACCATGGCTGATTAAGGACAGAGAAAAAAATTCAACTTAGGGCTGATCTTGGAGAACTTATAAATTGGTGAAGAGGGTAAGCATCTGGTTAATAGCAAATAATAACTATTGTAACAAATTGATCAGACGTTTAGAAGTAAAATATTACGTACTCTGTTGGTATATGGGAATCGGTGAATGTAAGAAAAGTGCATTTTATTTGGGCTGAAACCGGAAGACAGAATATAGGAGTTATCCACGTTGAAAGAAAAGAAAATGGGAGGTAAGGAAAACTTCTGCGTGCATTGGTTCCTTACCTTCCATTTCTACAGTGAGAGGGGAAGACGTCAATGTTAACCTTAGGTTTGACGGTGTGGTGTTTTTCTTTGGGAGAATAAATCTGATCTTCAGTATATACGTGGCAGGAGAGTGACAGCTAGTGAAGAGATGCAAACCGAGGGAAAGTAAGAGAAAGCCAGGCACAGGGGCAGCACTCTGGGAGGCTGAGGCAGGAGGAGTATAAATTCGAGCCTAGCTGAGGCAACAGTGATTTAGTGAGACCCTGTCTCAAACTGAAAAAAGGGGCTGGGGAGGTAGCTTAATGTGAAGGCCCTAGACTTAATCTCTGGTAACCGCTCCTCCCCCCTGATAAAGAAAGATGGTGTGAATATGTTTTTTAATTTTCGTGATAGGAAGTTAATTCAAGGGATTAATGAGAATCAATAATTGAACATTAAAAATAAATTCTTTGTGAAACTTCATCTATATTACCTATCTTAGGTAGTGTTTCTGTTCATAAACAGACTTGAGGCCTCTCTGAGTGGGTTTCAGTCCACCTTGGGGTTCTTGCTATCCAAACTAGGACTCCATTTCCCCGAGGAAATGTTCCAGTTCTAGTTCCAGGAGTAACCCGTCCTGTGTGGCTTCTTGCACACACTAACATTTCTAGGGGTTTGGAATTGCTCCACAGATAAATGACCAGGACAGTCCACTGCCAATTACTGTGGCAAAGAGCTTGACAACACCGCTACCACCTTCTGTATTTACCTCTTAGGGGTCCCAGTAAGCTATCTGGATTTAAATACTTGGATTTTTTTTTTCTTCTTCTGGCACTAGGGATCAAACTCAGGACCTTGCCCTTGAGAGGCAGGCAGCAGAACCACTGAGCTAAATCCCAGCCCCTGGACTTGAAAAATTGATAAGGGGTTTCTGAAGGCTGGTAAGGATATGCACATACTGCTAGCAGGAGATTGTACTGGAGCAAGAATCTGAGCTGTTGGGCTGGGGATTCAGCCTATAATTCCAGCGCTTGGGAGGCCGGCCTGAGCTACAAACTGACTTCAAGGTCAGCCTGAACTGCATAGCAAGACGCTGTCTCTTGGGCCGGGGATTTAGTTTAGTGACGCTGCACCTGCCTGGAGAGTACTAGGTCCTGCGTTTGATCCCTGGTACTGGAAAGAGAAAAAAAAAAAAAAGACCTTGTTTCGAAAAACAAAAAAGTAAAGGTCTTCTATCACTGTTATTTGAAACAGTCCTTAATTAGAAACAGCCCCACCCCCCCAAAAAGAAAAGAAACAACCAGAGGTAAATGAACAGAATACTTATACCCTGGAATCCTCTGTAGCAGTGGTGGCGAACCTATGGCACGTGTGTCACAGCAGGCTGTTTATATAATTGCAAGCTCTAAAAAGATTCTAGATCACTGCTCTGTAGCAAGTAGAAGGAATACATGAATAGCAGATGCCACAGTATGGACGAACTTCACTAATATATTTTGTTTGTTTTGCTGGGGATGAAACCTAGGGCCTTGTACTTTCTGGGCCAGTATTTTAGCCCCTAGGGTGTAGGTGACATAATTTCAAGTGGAAAGTGCTAGACACAGAAGAATACCTACCCCAACCAAGGGAGGGATTCAGACTTGATTAGAGCACAGATATATATACTAAATAGTATGCTATATATAGCGTATACATATAGTATAAATATATAGTATATATAGTATATGCGCGCGTGCGTGCGTGTGTGTGTGTGTGCCTAATAAATTTTACCAAATTTTGCATTTAAAAACAATACAGGTTTATCTTATAGTTACTTTGGGTCACAAGATCAGTCATGTAGGTAGTTTTTCTGCTCAGGATCATCTGAATGCAGCCCGGGTTACGGTAGGGTTCATTCCTGTCTGGATTAGAAGGGAGCAGTCTGTCCCCACATTCAGTCAGGTTGTTGGCAAAACTCATTTCTTTGCTATTGTAGGATTCTCTTCACTCAGCAGCAGAGGCTGCCTCAGCTCTTAGCAGCTACCTGTAATTTTTTCCACTTGGTCCCTTCCTTCCATTAAGTCAGCTACCAGAATATCTGTACTTCAGAAAAAGGGTAACCCCTCTTTAAAAACTTTGAGTAGGGCATGGAGGTGCATACTTATAATCCCAGCTGCTTGGCAGGAAGATCACAAGTTCAGGCCCAACCTCAGCAAATTAGTGAGACCCTGTCTCAAAATAAAAAATAAAAATAAGGCCAGGGATATAGTTGAGTCGAAGGCCCTGTGTTCAATCCCAAGTGCTGAAAAATCAAACAAACCCCAAACCAAGAAAAACAAAATCTACTGGCTGGAGACGTAGCTCAGTGTTAGAGTGCCTGCCACGTATAAAGCCCCTGGGTTCAATCCCCAGTATGGCCAAACGTATAAACTAAACTTTCCACCGGGTTAAGTGGATGAGCTCAAAACCAACTTATTTGGAGCCTTAAATATAGCTGCAGAATCCTTCATATTGGCCACATTTCCTTGGCTGGAGAAAAAACAAAAACAAAAACACAATCGCAAGCTAAGCCGTGGATACCCTCAAGGAAAGGGAATTACCCAAGGTCATGTGAATACCAGAAAGCAGAGATCCTCTTAGGGGGTGTTGGCCTCAGTCCAGGTGTAGTTCGTGGGGTGCTAGAGAAACTTCCTGGTTTCTTCAGCCAGAGTGAGGCCATGAGCAGAACTCCATGGCATGTGGTGCCTTTAGTGGGGCCAGTGTGCACAGGAACTGGGGAGCCCTCCAGGCCCGAGGTGTGGGGATCAGGGGTACAGGGCCTAGGCTTACTGTGGGGAGATGCACAGCGTGAATGGGGTCAAACACAGCTTTCTCCCTAGAATGCACTGTGACCGGGTCCTGGGGGACACAGGGAGGAGGAGAGGCAAAGGGAAGTCAAAAGCACTCAGGGGTGTTATGCTCAGGTCCCAACTCCCCTCAGTGAAAGTAATCATTGTGTACTGCCTATGTGTACCCATAAAAAGAAAAACTGAACAAAATGAGGGACGCAGGAAACTACATGAAACATCCAGGCCAGGTGTGGTGGTGCACACTCGTAATCCCAGCACTTTGGGAGGCTGAGGCAAGAGGATCTTCCGTTTGAGCTCAGCCTGTGCAACTGAGCGACTTCGCAA